TTTTACACTATCGCTCATTTCAATCTGATTAATAAAATGTGATTTTCACATTATCTAATCGATTGTTTTGCTTTCGTGTTTTGATTTTACGTTACACCTGATCTTTCGATCTAATTGGCTAAAAATCACGTTTCGAAAAAAATTTTGTGGGTTAGCTACTAATATAAAAAATGGAATGATTATCTTTGTAATCACTTTTTTCCCACGATTTTTTCTTTAAATTCATTGTAATATAGTTTCTAACTAATAAAGATAATATTGTATAACGTTGCTCTATATCAACAAATATGGCGGATGGTAAGAGACAAGTAACGGTATTGATTTTGGGAGGTTTACTAAAGACATTCTATTATTTCAGAAATTGCACAACAATCCACAGCCAATTTAAATGTTACAACTACGACTGCTGAAACTCTGGTTTTATCGAATGAATTACAGAAGGTTCGTGATTCTTTGCCTGAAGAAACGGCTATATTATACAATAATCGTATCGCACAAGAAGATAAGGAATCTTTCCTTAAGGCAATAGCAAAAGCACAACAGGATGAACGTAAAAAAGGAGTATGTTTTGTTTTGTTTTGTATATGATTTATTTTCTTTATTTTATAGTTAAAAAATTTTAAATAACTATTCAGATTCTTCGTATTCTCAATTTTTTCAAACTTATTTAATAGGAATCAACCATTAACTTAATTGTTAATTTAGCCGTACTTTTGATTGTTATTGGTTTTATTGTGGGTAATGCAGTGTCCAAACAAGATATATATGAAATAATTTCATATAGTATTATATATTCTGTCCAGTACTTTGCAATTCTAATGGTTTTATATCGTGAGAAAGGTTATAGTAAAAAATTTTTTATTTGTGTAGCATATTCATCAGTGCCATTGATTCTTGGTTGCCTAATTACTACTTTGATTACAATATAAATTAACATCTGCGATAGTTTTAGTGGGGATGGGAGTATTGTTTTCTGATTGGATCTCGAAGAATACTTAAAGAATTCAATATTAATCTAATGCTATAGCATAGCGAGCATTCATTGTAATTTGTTGATCATCTCGTGATTTTATTTGCTAATCACCTAATCAAATTGCGATGATCGTAGAATAACGACGGGTATGT